CTCTTTGAGCCTAAATTTGAGCAGTTGATCATTGATCTTTCGCTTCTTGTAGTAACTAGTAGCTATCTGCTCGAGTCGATCTGGGCGAAAGGAGTCTTCGGTGTCGATGTACAGCGCGTCGCCGTTCAAACCACCCTGTTTTTCAGACAACTGAACGCGGAAACAAAGTTGCATACTGCAAAAGGAACTGTCGTTGAGTATCTTCATAAATAAACAGAGTTTACTTACCAGAACTGCGTCTTCCCCGAACCGGCCTCTCCGGCCACCTGAGTCAGCATTCCCGTGGGCAGGCCTTTTCCGCCGAAGACGGCGTCAAGTTGAGCGCAACCAGTGGCAATGTACTGCGTCTCCGCTTGCCACTGCTCCAGCGGAACTCCAACTGGTAGATCCTCAGGCCTGGGAGGCTTCCTAATCTTGCGGTCAATCTCTTCTACTTGCTTCTTTGTAAATCCGAACCTTTCCATCAGTTCATTGTTCTTGATAACCTCGAGGTCTGCGCGGTAACGAATGTTACTCTCTCCCAGTTTTCCCAGCAAATCTTCGCTCAGATCGTAGGCAATGTTGAGCAGCTTTGGAAAGGCTGAAATGGGCATCTTTTCTTCTTCCTCTTCTTTTGGAGTGCTGTGGTAGAGAGGCCCAGCGGATGTTGACGGTCCTGGGTTCTCCATTCTGGCGATTTTAGAATCCAAAAACAAAAAAATGAAACAAAAAAAATTGTTTGCTTGCGCGCGCTCGTTTGTCCCATTCACATAAGGCGGGACCAAAGCCAAAACAAAGCATGCAGGAGTTCCAACAAAAAGAAGTGTCTTTGACCAGAAGATTCTTTGGCTGACAACTTTTCATCTGTTTTCATCTTACCATCAAAGTGAAGGGGAATTTAGAAAAAGAAGTTTGTTTTTAATTTGAAGGTGAAGCAATGAGCAGCATCACCCATATTGTCATCATCGACAATGGGGCGCATTCCATTAAAGCCGGCTTCAGCACTGATAAGGCTCCAGTGTACGTGAAACTTTGGTTACTGTTTGTGATTATCTTGTTTTTTACCACTATCTTTTTTATTGCAGAATCATTCCCAACTGTGTAACCAAGGTCAAGAGCGAACGACGGCGGCCGTTCATCGGCGACCAGCTGGAGGAGTGCAAGGACTACTCGGGCCTCTTCTACATTCTGCCCTTCAACANATTGTCATCATCGACAATGGGGCGCATTCCATTAAAGCCGGCTTCAGCACTGATAAGGCTCCAGTGTACGTGAAACTTTGGTTACTGTTTGTGATTATCTTGTTTTTTACCACTATCTTTTTTATTGCAGAATCATTCCCAACTGTGTAACCAAGGTCAAGAGCGAACGACGGCGGCCGTTCATCGGCGACCAGCTGGAGGAGTGCAAGGACTACTCGGGCCTCTTCTACATTCTGCCCTTCAACAAGGGCTTTCTACTTAACTGGGAGGTGCAACGACAGGTCTGGGACTACCTCTTTCGGACCAAGCTGAAGCTGCCCACTGATGGACGGAATCGCTTCTCCCGCGTCGGCCTGCTCATCACCGAGCCGGTGTACAACTTTGCGCCCATTCGCATGAACATGATCGAGTTTCTCTTTGAGGACTACGGCTTTGGCGAAATACTCATCTGCTCGGCGGCGCAGCTGGCCGCCTTTCAGCACCTCTACGAGGAGAATAAAGGAGCAACGGCGGAACAGTCACCAAACGACGTAAAAATCACGAACAACAACGAAAGTTCGACAACGAGGNAGGAGAATAAAGGAGCAACGGCGGAACAGTCACCAAACGACGTAAAAATCACGAACAACAACGAAAGTCCGACAACGAGGGAGAGCGATGTCAGAAAAGAAGAAGCTCAACAAGCACCGGGCTCTGAGGCGGCCTGTCTGGTCGTTGACTCGGGCTTCTCCTTCACCCACGTCGTTCCCTTTGTCGAGGGACAAAAGGTACTCGCGCACACAAAGCGCATCGATGTCGGCGGAAAGGTGCTGACGAACCACCTGAAGGACATCATCTCCTACCGCCAGCTAAATGTCCTCGATGAGACGTACGTGGTCAATCAGATGAAAGAGGACTGCTGCTTCGTATCGACCTCTTTTTGGAATGACCTGGAGATTGCCGGTAGAAGAGGTCAAGCGAACAGCATCGCTCGTGACTACGTCCTTCCCGATTACATCAATTTCAAGCGCGNTCAACAAGCACCGGGCTCTGAGGCGGCCTGTCTGGTCGTTGACTCGGGCTTCTCCTTCACCCACGTCGTTCCCTTTGTCGAGGGACAAAAGGTGCTCGCGCACACAAAGCGCATTGATGTAGGCGGAAAGGTGCTGACGAACCACCTGAAGGACATCATCTCCTACCGCCAACTGAATGTCCTCGATGAGACGTACGTGGTCAATCAGATGAAAGAGGACTGTTGCTTCGTCTCGACCTCTTTTTGGAATGACCTGGAAATTGCCGGTAGAAGAGGTCAAGTGAACAGCATCGCTCGTGACTACGTCCTTCCCGATTACATCAATTTTAAGCGCGGTTTTATTTATGAGAAAGAGAAGCATAAGGACATTTTTAACCCCAACGAACACCAGCGCATTCGCATGAACAATGAGCGTTTTCAGGTGCCTGAGCTGCTCTTCAACCCTGGTGACGTGAACATTGACCAGATCGGCATCTCCCACACCATCGTCCACGCTGTAAGCGAGTTCAATCCGCAGTTTGAGCTGAAGCAAACACAACAGGAGTCAGCAGAAGTTTCCGCATCAGCACAGCAGACCTCCTCTTCTGCCACAAATAACTCCACAGCAGCCTCAAGTACTCCGGGAATCTCCACCGGGGCTGGAAGAACTAATCTCAAAGACATTGACACTGACGAAGAAGGGGAAGGTCTTGAAGACGATGAGGAAGAGGTGGTGGTTGAGAAAAAGACAGAGGTAAAGAAACCACAACCCAAAGAGTCCTCACGCAGCAAAAAATCATCAAGAGGTGGAGCATCAGCTAAAAAGTCGTCTGTGATGACTAATGGCAGTGCTTCAACTTCGACCGTACTCAACGGCCATGGCAAAGCAGCAGCTGGTAAAGCAGAAGAGGTGGCGGACAATGATGAGACTGAAGAAGAAGATGATGATGATGACAGTGGAAAGTCAAAGGAAGAAGACGGCCAAGACCTGACCCTGTACCAGGATGAAAATGTTCAGTCGCACCTGTACAATAACATTCTGCTCATCGGTAACTAATTTATCTTGATTTATCTTTTTACTAAAACTACCGTTTTGTTCTAGGTGGGAACTGCGCCTTTCCCAACTTTGCCCAACGCGTCTACACGGACATTCGCAGCAGTGTGCCCGATCTGATGAACACCCGAGTCCGACTGCCCGAGTCGCCGGCGACCTTTGCCTGGAAGGGCGGCAAGACGCTGTGCGCCGTTGATGAGAATGGCGAGCCGGTAGAGGGCTCAGATTCAACCGCTTCTTCCACCACAAGGTCCCTCTTTCACAAGTACTCCATCAAGCGGAAAGAGTACGACGACCAGGGCGTAGTCCATTGCGCCAAAAAATTGGCCACCTGTCAGCTGCCGACCTTTTCCAAGCTCTCATCATTGTGAAGTACAAGTTCAGTTCACTGAGTTTGTTGTCAGCTGGTTGTTTGCTGTGTACATTTGTTTGCATTTGTATCATTAAAAATCATTTTTCAAATTCTAGCTGTTTGATTCTTAGAGTACAGCAGATGACAGTCAGTAAAGTTAATGACAGTACACAATTCTGCATTCTGCTTCTTTGCCAATTGACGAGTGCTACTCACCAACACAACAACAATGCCGCCCAAACCGAATTTAGAGTTGCTTTTGCCTAAAATTCGTAGCCTGATTCGTGGCCCCGTTGTCTGCAACAATCTTTTTAATCTTTGCAAGAATATTGGTCAATTGTTCTGTTTACTCCAATTGTTGTCTGTATTTGTGTACACTTTACATTTTAGAAAAAAGTAACATTTGCAGAATAATTATTGCTTCTTTCAGAAAATCAATCAAGGTTTTTGCAAACTAGATCAGCTGCTCAAATTGTTCATTAACATTCGCTCGTCTGACCGCGGTAATCAATGAAAGAGCGGGGATA